TAGACAAAGATGAAGGAGGTATAGATGTCGATGAACATAAATACTGTGGGATGATAGGCTCGCTTCTCTATCTCACGACAAGTAGGCCAGACATTATGTTCAGTGTTTGTATGTGTGCTCGTATTCAGTCCAAGCTTATGGAAAGTCATCTTAGTGTCGTTAAGCGCATCTTCCGTTACTTGAAAGGTGCACCAACTATAGGCCTATGGTATCCTAGGGAAACAAATCCAGAGCTTATGAGGTTTAGTGATTCAGACTTTGCCGGTAGTAGAACGGATAGAAAAAGTACCTCCGGCACCTGTCAATTTTATGGTCGATCCTTAATTTCATGGTTTAGTAAGAAACAACACTCCGTACCACTTTCCACCGCCGAGGCTGAGTATATTGCCCCAGGAAGTTGTTGTCAACAACTTCTATGGTTAAGGACTCAACTAGCGGACTATGGGATTACACTTCCTACTGTTCCCATTTTGTGTGATAATACGAGTGCCATAAATATGTCCAAGAACCCGGTTCAACACTCTAGAACGAAACATATAGAGATTAAATATCATTTCCTTCGAGATTTAGTTCAGAGTAAAACCGTGTCGGTCTCGTTTATAACTACGAGTGATCAGCTAGCGGATATTTTCACTAAACCACTTCCTATAGATCAATTTTTATTTATTCGACGTGAATTAGGAATGATATTCCAATATGATCTTGCTAGTTTTGGATCCTGAACTTACCTTCTCTTGATTGTTCGTTTGCCTCTTTGTCTTTCCATTTGTGTTGACCTAGATTCTTATCTAATAAATCAAAATTTGCTAATAAATCATAATCATAACAATAAAAAAAAAAGAGAAAAACAAAGGAAAATAAAAAACGGCAATCCCAGCTGCGCGCAGATCTCATCCTTTCCAGCGACCGGTCTCGAAGTTTCCAACCCTTTTCCCTTTCTTCTCTATTTGTGATTCTCAATCGTATCATTCTCGCCAATTCTGAAATACAGATTCTCAATCGCATCTTCCCTTACTCCAATTCTCCATCCTTCCCCTTCCTGACTTCCTTTTCAATCGTCGATTATGATCTTCTCATCTCTCCCGGCGATATATACTGCCTGCTTTTCAATCCCACTCCGCACTACGAAAATCATTATGACACCTCCCTCCCTTCTCGTTTCCTGGCTGCTAGCGACGACATCATGAGTTTCATCTCTGATGACTCATTTGTCATGACTCCTGCGCTTTTTCACCGCCAGCAGAAGATTGGTTCGTTTACCGGAGCACTCTATCCTCATCCTGTTGGTGAGAATCGTCATCGCCACCTCTAGATTTTTGCAGCAAAGCCAATTCTGCCGATTTGTACTCTTGATCCTTATGCCTTCGCCTTCGTCGATTCTGTGGATCCCATCTCGCTCATTGACAACCTGGGTTGGCTCCCAATGGGTGATTCACCTCCTCGCAGCTACTGTCCAGCTGTCGTTCGTGCCTTCTATTCTAATCTCCGGACGGATGGGCTCGCAACGGGCAAATTCATCACTCTGGTATATGGTCATCTAGTTACTCTTTCTGTTGATGATCTTGTTGCGTTCCTTATTCTACCCACTCAAGGCAAGCAGCTCATTAGCCCTCTGGAGTTCCGGTCCTACAAGTTTGACTTGCGCCAGGAAGCCACAGATCACTCCTTTGATTCGTTGGATGACTCACTCAAACTTCTACACTACTGCATCACACGAGTGTACTTTCCTCGCACTGACAACTTGGATGTCGTTCTGCCTCATGACTGCTGGGTTATATCCCACACCATCTCGGATATGTCGTTGAGCTACCCTCATCTGCTGTTTGGGGCAATCGTGGATGCCGCTACCAACGAATCTCTGACGGTGTGTCTTCCTTTTGATGCGCTGATTACGCTGCTGCTTCAGTGTGTCGGTGTGCCTCTGACTGATTTTGGACACGGACACAGCTATTAGAGAAGAAGGTGTTGAGCTCGTTAAAGACGAGGCGTCCGCGGGTGGTGCTGCATCTGCTTCGGCTGTTGTCCGCCCCTTCAAACTCAAGTGATAGGCTAAATGACCTCGTCCTTCTAGCAGAATTCTCAAGCGTCTCAAGAATAAAAAATCATCTCAAGGAGTGGTTCTTTATGAGAATCATGATCTTGAGCAAAACAATTAAAAGCCTTAACTTAGGAGGAGCTCGGGTTTGGGGGGAGCAAGTATCAAGTAGTTGCTTGTTGTTGTTTTAAAAGGTTTATTTGAACTGCTACTTTTAAGTTCTTTATTGGGTCAGGGGGAGTATCGAATTATGTCTACTATTTGCATTGTTGAGTGTTTTGATTGAATAATGCCCCCGAGCTATATTCAGGATGAATGAAGTAATTTGTCTTTTTAATCTGTGGCGTAGAAGTGATGCAATAGTTTTCGTTCTCTAATCTTGAGCTTTATGGTGAATGAAGCATATGCAGTAACATGATGCTAAATCAAGCTTAGGGGAGAATGTTGAGTCACAAGCTTGACTTAGCAATTTGAATATCATAGGATATTTTGTTTTGAATATAGGGTTAATATTTTCGTATGGCCTGAACTTGACCAAAATAAACATCCTGGCCAATCTTTTCGATCTATAACATCCTGGCCCGAACTATACACCAAAATAAACAATTTGGCCAGATCTGACTGTTGACCGTTAACTTGGACGGTCAAACGCGTTGATCGTTAGTCAACGCGCCATGTCACTACCAAGTCAGCATAAAATATTTAAAATAATTCACAATTTCCACACATTTCCTAATTTTAAATTATTATAAATTAAAAAAATCATCTAATACCTTAGTTAAACCAAAAATAAAAAAAGAAAATTTTAAATATTTATCAGATCTTCTGACTTGGCAGTGATGTGGCAGTGACGTGATGTGTTGACCATTAGTCAACGCATTTGACCGTCCAAGTTAACGGTCAAACATCGTGTTTGGCCAAATTGTTTATTTTGGTGTATAGTTCGGACCAAGATGTTATAGATCGAAAATATTGGTCAGGATGTTTATTTTGGTCAAAGTTCAGGCAATACGAAAATATTAACCCTTGAATATATGCTATTATGTTGAACTAACAATCCATGCAGAAATATCACAATCAATGCTAAGGTAAAAGGAAAAAATTCAAAGTGATTGCTTGCCCTCAAAGGAGTTGTCATATCAAGCAAGAGTGTATCAAATTAAGGAGATACTTTCCACGTAAAGGACTACAAATGAAAGAAAAAGAAGTCTCACATCCACTATAAATAGGAGAGTCATTTGTAGGCCAGGATACCTTTTGCAAAGTTCTCTTCTCCCTTGTAATAGCGAAATAGTGTGATCATATTTCGTGGTGTGAATAGCTTGATATCTCGGAGGTTGAGATATTCAAGCTAGGTCGGGTTTTAGGGTAGAAAGGGTATTTGTAATTGGGACTAGTGCAAGAGCAAGAGGGGATTCTTGCTTGGAAGTTGCACTAGGTGGATTACTCTTCAATCAAGTCAAACTAAGAGTGTTGGCTTGATTGATTGAGTGGGTAGCTTAGCTTGGATTTAGCTAAGGGTTGAATAGGTGTGGAGTTGCATCTATTTGGTTCTTGACACGTAGTGTCAAGGTTGTTTTCATTTCATAGGTTAGAGAGTATTTTATCTTAATAAAAGTTAGAGTCTCTCGTGAGATAGTGGTGACTATCTCCGAGACGTGGATGTAAAGCCATATTGGCCGAACCACGTTAAAATCATGTGTACCGACTCATATCTCTCTCTCTCTCTCTCTCTCTCTATATATATATATATATATATATATAATTGTGTTCCTTCCAATATTGCAAAGAAGTGTAAACTTCTAGGCAAACCATTTTGGGTTGCTCAATAAGCTATTGCTAATCTCTCGCTATTGAAATCTGAATTAATTTGTGTATTTCACCAAGACTTTCCTCCTCGATACTAAAGTTGATTTTGTACTTTTCAACTTCACCAAGACTTTCATTCTCGTCATAAGTTCAAAATTTTGCACAAAAAGTGATACATATCCAAAGGGATGCAATAAATTTCTCCAATTAGTAACTCAAAATCACGAGCGAAAAACAAACTTCAAACTTCAAAATTAACTAGGAAAGTGAAATCCGGGTTGTCTCCACGGTAGCGCTTTTGTTCAACATTGTTAGTTTGACGCCATACATGGGCTTCCTCTTATGGAGAGCTGTCTCTTTTCCGCATTTGAGCTAGGCACAACTAACCTCCTTTTAAATGATGTCTTAATCCAGCTCCACTTCATCATCATCTCCATAACTAGTTGCAGCAATTGGTTCGTTGAGGATTCCATGTGGTAGATAATAATGAATGAAACCTTGATACTCTTTTGATGTCTCATATTCCAGGTCCTCGATCCTTTCAAGCATTGGCTTTGGCCTTGTATTGGCTATCTTTAGTAGCATTTGGGATACCTTCGGATTCGTAATTGGCGGAGCTTCCTTCAACTCACCTCCGTACCTTGGGTCTTGATCATGGTGATGAATTACTGTGTTTGTTGAATCCTCAAATAGAGATCCAAATCAAAATTTGATCTTATTCTCCAGGTTCTACTTTGAATACTCCTTGAATCCATCACTCCTTTTGATGAATTTCTCCACTTGATACGTGGTCTTTCTTAAATGTAAAGTAACTTTTCCATGGACAACATCGATTCTTGCTCCAGTAGTGGCAATAAATGGCCTTTTGAAAAGAATTGAGTACTCTTTTGAAAATTCTCTCATACTAAAAGTTTTAGTCCTTAAAAACTTATGCAAAAAAAAAAAAAAAATTCATGACGTTCGAATTGCATAGCACAAAGTTATGGTCGTCCAAAGTTGACAAAATCAAAAAATTGCTTGTTCGTGGTAGCAAACAGCATTTTTTCGGAACGAAAGTGGAACCTACGACGGTTTGCGGTTAGCAAAATCTCGAAAAATTATGTGGAATCATAAAATTTTTTCTGTACGATGTGATATCGAGCGCAAAGTTATGTTCGTTTGAAGTTTCAACGCAAGTCAGGCCTTTACCGCGGCCGACAAACGCGGTAAAGCCTTCACTGCCCTCCTCTGCAGCGGTGAATGCCCAAACATGTGTAGATTGAAAAAAAAAAATTATAATGTGTGTATTTTGATAATTTTTTTTAACATATGTATTTTGTGATTTTTCCCCAAAAAGACAGCAGTTGAGGATCTTAGTATCAGGAGACTTTTATAGGATAAAGTTGCCCCAGGGTTTACATATGTTAGGTTGCACAAACTGAAACTGCTGACCTAACCAAGAAGAAGAGAGTTTTCCCTAGAGCGTGGGCACTGTCGGGCACTTACTAGTGTCTGAGTTTCTCACTGGTGATGTGGTTGTGTATACGACACTGTGGTTGGGCTATATTGTTGATAGCTGCTCCCCTGCTGCAAATAAGCCTCATGGTTCACTTGTGATTGTTGTAACCCATAGTTCTCATGATTGTTCCAGTTGTAGTATTGGTAATTGGGGTGGGTCTCCACTACACCCCTATCACTGTGACAAAAAAATTACATGAAGATAAGCAAATGGTCATTCTCCTGAAAGATTTAACAAAAAAACCATGATTTAAGAGGATAACCTAAGGCAACAGGCGCACAGCGGGAACAGTTAATAGGTTACTCAACTCAGTTCGCATCTTACAAGAACACATGTTACTCATAAGGTTTCTTGCTTAAATAATGATTAGAAATAAAGACAAACCCAATCCTTCTGGAAGAACCTCAGATGCCCTCTTTTCTTTCCAGTTCCAAAGACCTTAGAGCTTTTATCCATGCAATTTCCCACAACTAAAACAGCTTCTATGTCGACCATTTTGCATCTTGGAAGCAATTTCAGGAAAAAAACAGGCTTCCTTGTGTACAATGTACATGCAGAATGCCCATTGCATAATCAACAAATGACAAATCACTTGTCAACAAGTTACCAACAATCTAAGCGATACCTGTTCAATTAATTATTGCACCAGAAAAGAAGCTCAACATTCTTAAAAGAGGACCCAATTACCTATGATAAGGATCCATAAGTGGCTCTGCCTGTTGGACTAGTGCAGGAACAGCGTGTGATGGTGGATTGACATGCGAGTAACCTTGTTGCCCCTGTTTGTAATCATACGTGGCCACTGAAGATGGATGAATATGAGGTTGTAAGGAATGTTCTAGTGGTCTTTGTTGGCCTCCGTGCTCAAGAGTTCCACTAACCGCTGCAGGAAGGACATAACCATGCTGCACAGTATTAGCTTCATAAGGATGTGATGAATAAGACAGAGTAGGAGGAGCCAGTTGAGCTTGCTGCCCCGCTGGTAGATGTGTAGTCCCCTGGATCTCTATGTTTCTATAATGTCCATACTGGTGGCCTCTATCCATTGGTATAGCATCATATTTAACATCTGATACTGCTGGGGTATGTTGTAATTGCAACCTAGAGTCATGTGAGGTTGTATAATAAGATGGTTGAAAAGCTGGCCGATCGTTCAGGTTTGTTGATAAGTGATCAGGAACCCCATCCTTTGTGGGTCCATAATAACCATGCTGGGGTTGTACATTGGTTTGTGTTGCATATTGGGAGCCTGATTCTGCTTGGTCATGACTTCGATGCATCGCGGTATCATAAGAATTCAAAGGCTGGGACTGATCCACACCAGCTGTACCAGACAATGCTACTGGCATTGATTCATGACACATTATAGGAGGCACATATTCCAATGATCGCATTCCAAAAGGCCGAAATGCCGATAAAAGACCTTGAACCTGCACAGTGACATGACACTTATTCTTTTGCTTCTTAGCCAGAACAGAAAATGACATTGTAGAAGAATAAAGATAATAACCACTTACTTGCACATAACTTAGTTCTTGAGTGAATCTTCCCTTCTGGTAGTTCTTATGGATTATGTGCTTAAGGGTACTATCATGTAGAGGCAGACAATCTCTGTCTATACGGAAGCTCACCTAACACAAAGATAACAAAAAAAAAAGCCAAAGTGGAGAAGAAACAAGATTATTCCTCTATCAATTGACAAGTAGTATAGCTATCCAAATCAAGAACTGATGACGCAAAGAAGCCAACTTTAGAGGGATCATGATACAGTATTGGACACTCCAATACTGCATCATTCTTAACAAAGTCTCAACGAACTGAAAGACGAGGTTTTATGTTCATTAGTCCGACAACACCCAGTCTTCTCCCTACCCAGTAGTTAGCTTGTACAGTAACTCAACAAGTTAATTCAACTTAGCAAATTGGAAGGGTTCCACATAGTTGTCCAAATAAGTGAGAATGACAGAATAAGAAACACATTTGAATAATTGATACCCTCCAAGCATGAGCCTTCAGAGGCGTTGATTAACAAATAGAAAAGAAGGTTCGGGATTTAACCTGTGCAGGAAAATTCCCACCAAAAGCAGCAGGCTCCAAATTCAATACTCCGCAAGAGGTCGCCACATAAACACCATAGAGAAGCTTAGCATCAAAATCAAACAGGAAAAGTTTCATCCCTGGCTTGATCTTCTGAACGACGTGCAATTTAGGTATGGGAACCCCGAAAACACGGTACTGGTAGCACTGAGGCTTTGTCTGCCTGTTACAGAGGAATATGAAACCAGCAAGTGACTCCTGATTATGAATATTTTCTTCTTTCTGTGTAGTAGTAAACCCATGGAGATGAGAATTGGGCGTATGCACCGCGAGATTGTTCCCATGAGGCATCTCTATCTTCCCATTCACATTTAGGTGGCTTGCATCCCAAGCGATTCCAGCTGAATCCTGAGCTCTCTCCATTACCATTTGATATTACTGTTCATATAGAGGAATGAGAATATCAGATGAGCAAGTCTGTTGAAGAGTAGACAAAAGCAGTGCATCAAAACCTCAACTCCCCTTCCCTCTCCAGAAGTTGGCAAAGGGGTAGCTCCAATTCGGAATTAATTTAAACTACAAGAATGGAAGAAGAAATCCCTGAACTGAACTCCCCTCTCATTCAATCAAAAGCGGCAATTGTATGTTCTTAGTAATCACGATACCTGGCCGAGAAACTGAAATCCATTCAATAAAAATCCGCAGAATCGCAGGCTCTTACGGTTTCTGCTTGGCAAGGCAATAATCGAGAGAAAGAGTAGGCGAGCTCGTAGGGAAAGAGAAACGGAGAAAGGAAAATTAAGGTCTCGCCGTCGCTGAGCTCCGGGAGGTTTTCCTTTTCCCTGACGTGGATGGAGAAACAGTTTTTTCTTTACTTATCGTTTTCTTGTTTGGGAGTAGGAGTGAGAGAAAGTATTAGGGCTGGGAAAATAAATCACACCATTTGAAAAATTGTGGACCAAACCAGATTATACAGTTTGGTTTGGACTGTACACCGTGAAAAATGATTTGGTCTAGTTTATGGTCTGTATTATATGAAGTTTTGAAATTTTGGTCTGGTCTAGACCGTAGTTTACCATACCAAATCGCAGATCTAGCCAACTTCCCAATATATGTTAGTATCCCACTTGACCACTCTCTCAACTCCCCCCAACGAGACTCAAGTATCAACCTTAATTTTGAGAATCTCGTTCCCTCCTTCACTGACAATCGCATTTTACTAGAGAATAGAGACGATCGTGTCTCCACATGACACTATGTTAATGTTTGTGATGTTATGGTGCGAGATGAGATTTTTTTACTTTGTATCTTTGTTATTTACTAAGATTTAGGGAGTCAAAATTATTCATGCATGTTGGATTTTATGTTTATTGGTTCAATTTTTAATGTGGTTGACTTAACAAAGTATTCATTTTTTGTTCAATGTGATCTGTCTGGACTAGACCGTATCGGAACAGACCGCACAGGTATGGCCTGGTCTCTAGTCAATACATTAGTCTCTCGGTCTGGACCCTAGACCTTCTATATGGTTTAGTCTGGACCAGACCACACTGTTTCCCAACCTTAGAAAGTATTAGCTAACTTGTGCATACGAGGGGTAAAATACTTCGGGTGCCACTTAAGTTTGAGTACTCGAGTAGAAGAAAAATTCAAAGCTACCACTGTTAAAAAAAAAAAATTACAAATATATCACCCGAACCGGAAATATTCCAAATCTACCACCATTATTTGAAAACCACTACCCAATGAGGCGATTTGCATATGAACCGCATGGTGAGGTCACGGTTTTTGGGAGAACCGCATGGTGAGGAGGCATTTTAATTTTTTTAACAAAACGCCTCATAGAGAGGCGGTTCATTTGGCTGCCCTAGAACAAACTGCCTAAGGAGCGGTTCTACGTCAACAACATAAACTGCTCCTTCAGCATGCGGTTTATTGTGCCGACACACAAATCGTTCCCTCCCACAGCGATTTGTGTGTAGTCATCATTCCCCCAACATCCGACATGTCAGCATGCAGGGTGCAGACGTGGGGCTACATGTCAGACTAAAACCGCCCCTCCCATAACGATTTTTAGTCAAAATTTTGCCTATAAAAGGCAGCTCCGAAAGCCTCAACTCTTCACCCCTCTCCTTATTCTTCTTCAAATTATGTTGTGCACCTTACTTTTTTAAGTTTTTGCAATTAACTTTACTTTATAAGTTTGTTTTTTATTATTTTTTATTGTGATTTTGATGGTATTAATTTAGTTACGATTTTGGTGCAGATGTTATTTCAAAAGTTCACGCTTGGGTTACGGTGGAATGGTTATACAAAAGAGACAGAAAATGGGGTACATTATGTTAATGGTAATTTTCATAAAGTGAAGGTCGCTACGAGACCGAACCTTGAAGAGCTCCGTCAAATGTGTACTGAGGTTACTTGCATGGATGGCATGAGAAGAGTTGATCGTATGGTGTTTGATACCCAAACAGACATGGCAGGTCGTTGTGGTGAGGAATTTCTCATAACCACTCAGGAGGACGTAGATGCCATGGTCGAATTTTTGATCGCCAATAACATTAAACAAACAGAGATGTTCGTTTACACTGAGGCGGTCGAAGGCGGTGGAGGTTGTTCTAGAGATGGCCAACATCTGGTATCCACGGCGGAGGTGGATTATACGAAGATCATCCCTACCAAGGTTACCATGATCCTCATACCTACCATGAGTACCAGGAAGGAGGTAGAGCTCATCATCAATCCTTCCCATCATATGAAGAAGAAGCCCAAAGGTACCATGACAACCAACAAGAAGGCTATCAGTACCAACCCGAGTACAACTTCCACCAAGGCAACGCTAGTTATCACAACTACCATTACAGAGCTGATGAATGTGCCTTTCATGATCTGGATCAGATGGAAGATGCCCTACCATGTCGAGTTAGTGACCCTAAGGATGAAGAGGATGACGGTGTCATTGCAGACAGCTCCGACCCTCTTAAAGGTGCTTATGATTCAGACCCCGATTCTACGCTGATGATGATGAGGTATCTCATGATCGTGTACCTATCTCGTACTAAAATCATGTTCCAAATGAAAATTATTTTGTTGATGCCGACATGGAGATGCTAGAGGTGTCAGTATGGGTCCACTCACTGGGTTTACGAAGCCCCACAATTTGGTACGAAAAATGAGGTGTGGCACGCTATTTCCATAGAAGCAATGAATCCGAGTTTCAAATGGTACACAACTCATTCCGATACAAAAAGCCTCATAGTTAGATGCCAAAATCAACACGAGGGATGCAAGGCTAGGGTCCGGGCCATCAAGAGCAACAGAGTCTGCCATTGGGTCATATCCCGTGCGGTGAACACTCACACATGTGTGTCATCCATAACATCCCAAGGCCATTGACAATTGAAATCCAGGGTGGTTGCCGCAGCTATCAAGCATCTAATTGAGCAACAGCCTGGCCTGAAAGTGAAAGTCATCATCGCCGATATTTCTAGTCATTATGGATGTATTATTAACTATTAAGAAGGCGTGACATGGAAAGCAGAAAGAAATGGTCGTTGTGCTTGGTGACTGGGAATAATCATATGCATTCCTTCCCATATTGATTTTGGCATTGGAGGCGTTTAACCCCGATATTGTTTTCTCCCTCCGCTACCAAGATGAAGAAGTCCACTCGCCGAAGCCCAGTAAAAAACGTCTTTTATGGTTGACTCGCTGTTACTGTCACTCTAGAAATTGGCCAAGTGTAACCACTTCCTAAAGCGTAGTATAGCGGGTTGGGTTTTAATGTCAACCCGGGTCCTAGATGTGATGACTACTCAGTGAATTCGTATTATCTAGCAATGAAACTTTAGTGAAGTTCTAAACTAACAAGCAAGCAAAGCAACTAAACGTTTGTATTCAGATTAAGAGAGGTCACCCGGATATGGTTCCCCCTAGTCTGCAGTTAAGCCGGATTGTAATTGCCAAGTTCGATTTCTATGATAGTTATACTGCGGAAGGTTCTCAAACAGTCTGAAGCCTCGACTAAAGGTCTTCAGACCCTCTCAATCTGAGTCTCTAGCTGGCGACTAACCTACACCGGAGTAAACAGATTGAGGCCCTATGAACAAAACCTCCACTACCGAATGGAATTCGGTACAGAATAGTGAACTGGCTCCTCGACTAAAGTCACCAATTCACTACCTTCGATTAAGGATACTCTATCAACCTAGGCAGATATTATCATTCTAGGTTAAAGCAGAAACAACAGGAATTTGATCAGGATTCAAGTCATTCAATCATTCAAACCTCAATCGAATATAATCAAATCATAGAATCAATACTTGGGTTCATACAATCAAACCTAACATACAGATCTAGGGTTTCCCACACCCAGATGAATGGGGGAACTACTCCATGGAGAGAGAAGCAAAAGCAGAATCAGACGCGGAAATCATACTGTGAAGATGGATTTCTGCTCCTGGACGTTGAATCGGCACTTCTCCAAGCTCAAACCAAGCTCCAATGGTGTTGAAGATCGATCTAGGGCACTTGGAGACTCTTGTTCGAATCCCCCTCTGTTTGGCTCGGAATCCGCTTAAAAACAAGAATTTCCCGACTCGCACGGCCAGGGTGCACGGCCGTGCACATCACCATTCTGGCCGTGCGGCTCAAAACGCGGCGTACCATTAAGTCGAACTTCAGCCATCTCGCACGGCCAGGATTGCACTTCGCACGACCGTGCGGATTTCACTTGTGCCCGTGCGCCCTCTCGCACAATCACGCACGGCCAAACTGGTCACTTGCACGGCCGTGCGGGTTTTCTGCTCTGCCCGTGCGTGCTCTCGCACAATCCCGCACGGCCAAACTGGTCACTTGCACGGCCGTGCGGGTTGTGGGTGTGCCCGTGCGCCTTTCTCAGAACCTCGCCATGCATCCGATCCTCGTCCAATCAACCTCAAACTCGCTCCCAAGCCTCCATTCACGTACTAGGACCTGAAATATCATAAACAAGCACAACCTAGCGTGAAATCGGCCTAAAACACGAGAATCAATACCTCAAACGGAGTAAGAGAAGGGGTAAAAACATGTGTAACTAACGGTCTATCAAACTCCCCCACACTTAACCGTTTGCTTGTCCCCAAGCAAACCTATCTCAAACCAATGCAACTCTCCAGACCTCTGTAGCAACAAACAACCTCGATCGTAGGTAGAGGACTTCCTAGATCATTTAGCAACTTACGAGGTCAACCGACGCACAAGTCATCTCATAGCTTCTTCGGCGAGAGCACTAGTCTCGAGTCAGCATCATGGCAAATAGTGAACAGAGGACAAATGATTCGTGGATGAGGAGACTCTCAAAAACAAAAGATCATGGACTCACATTGTTCAAGGTGCTCGATTTTCTTCTTGAAGATGGTTGGAACCCCTTTTCTTTCTTCTTTTTGCTTGTTTTTCTGTTTTTCTCTTTTTTTTTCAAGGGTTCCAACCTGTTTTTGCAAAAAACGAGGGCTCCCACCTAGCAAAGGTTTTGCGGGAGCCCGGCTCTTACCGGCCATGCCAGGAGCAGTTGTCTCGAGCCTCGTGCGGGGGAAAGACATGTAAGGGGGCTGGAGGTAGTAGGTGGAAATTGGGAACGGATTCCCGTCTCCCCTTACACACTTTCGCCCTATTCGCACGGGAGACGTCATTTTAAAGCACATTTCGAGCACCTGTTACTTTCAAAACATGATACAAGAGTCCATGACAGGCAGAGAGTCCACAACACCACACAATTCAAGGGTCCTAAGATCACTAATTCACTCAATCAACCAACACACTATGAAGAAGAAATGAGACTTCTTAAATGCATCAACATCCTCCATAGTGCTACACTACCTCCCTAGGTTGCAAACCACTACAGAGACTGTCAATTCA